TCTCACCTCCATTGACATGGTAAGTGAAACAAAACTGATTCTTAGGTCGGAGGGTGTCTTGACCTATGATCGTATGTCAATGCGCCCCCAAGTTCTTGGTGTCGTGTAAATTCCATTCAAAATTCTACTTATCGCGGAACTAGGAATCATGAGTGTGGCCTTTACACTTCGTGCAGGGTTCATTTCTTTCATGAAGCATTCCGTAGTGTTTGGACGCCCCCAATATTCTTTCATGAGTAAACTCTTAGCATGAGGTTTGAGTAATTAAGGTTCTCGATGCCTCCTGTATCCAGTAAGCCACAGAGTTAACGGGTTTTTGTTTCCCTTTCTCTCGTCTGTTAAATCTAACATAGACGATAGTTTTGAGGGCTCTTGTCTTGGACGTTGACGAGTTGGTTGGCCATGACGAAGTTAACGATGCTGAATAGATCGTCAGAGTCTAGTTGAGAAGTTGCTAGGCAATTATCTAATTTCCCGTAGACTTCATTAGTTGCAAAAAAATCTTTTTTACTATTTAGTGAGATATTCTTCACACTTTAGTATGAGAAATGAGAACAGGTTCCGTTGAATCATCAATCCTGGCATAATCCTCAGAACGGAGATTCTCCATCCGAATAGATTGAGTCGAATTCGGCAAGCGCCTTGTCAACGGCAAGCCATTTTTCTTGTCATCATGTGGATGGATCCAACAGAGAGAGTCGTCCTCTGTTGTCGGATCGTCTGACTTGCGGTTGGGCAAACATGGTTGCATCGCTTTTCTTCTTGCGATCAGCCTTGACCGCAGCGTTGGAGACTTTCTTCATAAGGACAGAGAGTTCCTTCTTGGTGTAGGACTTGGCGTCGTCGGACTTGCGCTTCCAAGTCTTGTTCTTGTTGTACGCTGGCTTGCTATCGTTGTCAGACAGGAGGCTGAGACTTGGCTTTGAGCTTTTTCAGAGTCATGCAGTCAGCAGTGTGTTGGTGCTGGACTCGTGTAGTCGCACCACTTTTCTTCGTTCTTGAAGATGGGGTCGTTTTGCGAGTAGACTTGTACTTTTCTGTTGTTCTCTTCGAAGGACCTTGCTTGGCATCACCGCCCTTGTCAAAGTCTTCGGAGAATTCCATGCATTCGCAGAATCCAATGGTTTCTCCGATAGGAGCTGAGAAAGGATCGAAAGTCGTTTCGTCATCTTCTTCAATCCACGAGCGTGAAATTCCATGACAAACAATGTCAATGACTTCGTCATGGTTAATGTTTGGTTGGGTCCAAAAGGTGGTAACGAGGAAGTTCATCGGCATTCAATCCGACTGAGGTTGTTGACATAAGCCCGAGTAGTCATATCAGCAGGCTTACGGATCTTGCGGCGAATGAAGCGTTTCTGCTTTTCAAGAGCCTTGTAGGGACAGACCGCTCGACACAGGCATTTATGCCAAACGTAATGTCAGTGTCGTCCAACAGGCTGAGCTGCTCCGTTCAGGCAGCCTGGAAACGCTTGGAAAGCGGCTTCGTCTTCACCGCCGTACGTCGCGTGGAGGAATCGTGTTGACTGCAATCTGGCGCAAGGCATTCCAACGTATTTCACGATGGCCTGCACAGTTAGATTCGTAACTGCTCTGGGCAGAGCTAGAAGTCATCTCCTTGAGGAGTGTATGTTTGTCTTCAGGCGTAGCAAGGCGAGCCCGAGAAGACTTCTCCCATAGTCCAGCCCACTTGATGGTTGACGTGGAGTCTCAGATCCATTGATGATTTGGACCTTGAAGGTGTACTTGGCTGTTAGCATTGCTGGAAAGTGCGAAGTTTGTAGTGGGTAGAGCGAGAATCGTCGATTTCGCATTCATCGTCGCGGTCGAAGAGAGGAAGATTGGTTTGTCGCGCAGCTTAGACTCGAAGCTGGTGACGCGTCTTTGGCAATCTCATGGTGAGGAATAGGTTAGGGTAGCTGAAAGCTATGTTTTTGTAAACAAAATGCACTACGCTAAAAGCTAGTGTAAAGATCTTTCGAGTGTTTTGAGTTTGAGAGAATGAAAGTTATGAGAGGATTAGAAAGCTATGAAAACTAACAACGAGAGAGATCCACAATCAAAGAACGTAGATCTGAACCCCGCGGGAGACTGTAAAGTGTGATAGAGTAGGTTGCGGTAGCAATCCTACTCACTCCACGATCCAAAAACGGAACCGCGTTGGAAGAATTCGTCTAGCATTTATCTAGGTAGCGTGGAATCTCTCACGCCAGCTAAATATCTAGCGCGATGTTTCACTATCGACCTAGTATGACTAGCGGTCATGAGAACCCTGTCTCAATGACTATTCACGAAAGACTCAGTCATGAGTCGAACTCAAACCCTATCTAGGATCGAGTCGCGAATAAGGCTAAGAGCCGTGTATTGCAACTACAAGAAACAATCTTTTCCCAGAGGGGATAAGTCCTATGAACTAGTAGTCAAGGACGACAAGTTTGTTGTGCCTAAGGCCATGCAGAAGAAGCTGGTCGAATGGTATCATGGTGTACTGATGCATCCTGGCGAGACTCGCACAGAACTTACCATCAGTCAACACTACACCTGGAAAGGGTTGCGCAAGACTGTGCAGTCCGTATGTCAGCGTTGCCAAAGCTGCCAACTGAACAAACCCAAGACGCGTAAGCTGGGATTGCTTCCTCCAAAGACTTGCGAGGAGATCCCTTGGGAAAGACTATGTATTGACCTGATAGGTCCATACAACGTCGGGGATCCTAAGAAAAAGAATTCCTGTACACTTCATTGCCTGACAATGATTGATCCCGTAACCGGATGGTTCGAGATTGCTGAGATCTGCTCCAAAGCAGCAGACGAAGTAGCCATCGTTCTAGAACAGACGTGGCTTACTCGGTATCCATGGCCTGCTGAGGTTATCATGGATAGAGGATGTGAGTTCCACGCAGAAGTCGAGAAGACTCTCCGGGATGAATATGGACTTCGTCGCAAGTTCATTACCACACGTAACCCTCAAGCCAACTCGATGGTCGAGCGTGCTCATCAGACCATTCGTAACTTGATAGCTGTTCAGAATATCAAGTGTCAAGACGACCTCGTGAATGGATCCTGGGATGGAGTCCTCACGGCAGTTCGGTTTGCAATGAATGCCACGATTCATACCACCTTGCGTGCAACACCTGCACAGCTCGTGTTCAATCGTGACGCGATTCACAACGTCCGTTTCGAAGCAAACTGGAAATACATCAAGGAACGTCGCCAATGACTTATCCAGAAAAACAATAATAGGGAGAACGCGACGCATGTCCCTCATCAATACAATATCAACGATACTGTGATGATTCAACAAGATCAACACCGCAAGTACGGTCAGCCAAAGTACAAAGGTCCTTGCAACATAGACCGAGTCAATGACAATGGCACTGTACAGCTCCGACATGCTACCGCCAATGGTGGCACAGTCTACCAGACTTGGAACATAAGGTATTTACACCCATACAAGGCCTGATCCCCTTGTAGGATTGCCATCGTGCGACACACATGTCTACATCCAATCTCCGGAGAGTGCCCCGCACTTTAATTCATATGTTCTCCTTGTCCGACTGATGTCGTGCCTCCTGTGACCCTTGTCAGGGGGCGAATACAATACATGGCTCTTAGCCTTATTCGCGACTCAATTCTAGATAGGGTGTGAGTTCGACTCATGACGTAGTCCTTCGCGAATAGTCATTGAGACAGGGTTCTCATGACTGCTAGTCATACTAGGTTGTCGATGGAACATCGCTCTAGATATTTAGCCGGTGTGGAAAGCTTCCACGCTACTAGACAGCTACTAGCTGAAGTTTCCACGTGTTCCGGAAATGGACCGTGGAGTACGTAGAGTTATTACCTTAACCTACGATATCACACTTCGAGGCCTCCCACGGGAGACCAACTTCAATGAGCTTCACAACGATCTCTCTCATGGATTAGTTTTCGTAGCTTTCTAATCTCTCTCATAACTTTCATTCTCTCAAACTCAAAACACTCGAAAGATCTTTACACTAGCTTTTAGCGTAGTGCAATAGAGCTGAAAATTAAAACCCGAACATAAATCATGATCATAATATAACCATCCATGGCCATATGGTTGTTCCCGCTTTTGTCCTTTCGAGCTTTAGAAAGCTGCCTCTTCTTTTCATCTTCGCTTAGCTGGGAGTCAAACTGGATTTTCTATAGTTGGGGTGACTCATTTTTGGTTTCGAGCCAAAATACGAGAATGGCTGGGCATGCGCCGAAGTTATTACTGGCTACTAACGAACTCTGTAGATAATCATAACACATATAGAAAGACGTTTAATTCATATGCAACGACTAGTAGGGAGAGAAATGTGTGGACGCCAAAAGGCAAACTGTGACTAAAATGCTAAAATCTCCGACTTCACTATCCTGCACACCAAACACACGCCGACCTTAATTGCCTCGCTCATAAGGGTCACTTCCAAGGATGTCGCCAAGGCTACTCTCATCCAAGCCATCATTGCTTCCAAGCTTCCCAAGGATGTAGTGTCCAAGGGCTTCCACAGTGCCATTCATGTGACCAAGAAGCTTCTCCACAACGAACTGCTGGAAGCGCCTTTCTTGGGCCTTCTGATTCTCATACTCCATACGGAACTGGACAGTTTTGTTAATGGTGTCCTGGGTGTTGCCCTTGATGACGTTGAGCCCAGGTAGGCCGTCTCCTTTGAACCTTTCGAGGCCTTCCTTTTGAGACTTTGTGATGCGATCCCGAATGGATTTCACAAACTTCTTGCGGACATAAGTCTCCAGGTCATTCCCAATCTTTTCATCAACGATGTTCCTTACCTTTTCATCGAAGTCCTGGTCAGTATCGCAGCTTGCATCATCCTCATCAGGCCTGTCAGTCTCGTGACTTCCATTCCGCTCCAGATGGATCTGTTCTGGTACAGAATTCTTCACACTCCCAGTACCGCGTTTAGGGATCTTACGGGCTCCTCCATTCACACTTGCCGTGTTGCCACCAGTAACAGTCGGTTGACATTTTACAGTACATCTGTTTTTCGAAGCACTGGTGTCGAACAGCTGGTTGAAGTCAAAGCTACGGGTGGCATCATCATAAACTGCTTCTTGATGTAGCATTGCTGCTGAATTCTGCATGTTAACTTGGGGCTTTTTACTCTTGATGTACGATTTTCTGGTGTACGGGTTGGTAAAAAGGTAGTGGTCTTGGTCAACGTCGACTGCTTGCATTTCTGGTCGTGAGACTTGGAAATTATGATTAAGGAAGACTTCTGCGGGAGTACATGAAGCTAGTGTTTTGAATGGAGGTCTGATTCGAAAATTCAAACATACGTAACAGACACAACGACTAGTAGACTGCATGGAGGTCGTGGTCCTAATCATGGAAACTCATACTATGCATTACCAGTACATAATCGGTCTGGCTTCTGTAGTGTAGTAACATACCTTTATAATAGCACAGAAGTCGTTTGGTCTCACTTTTTTGATTTTGCTAGTAGCATCATGGCAGTCAATCTAGAGGAGGACCACCGTGGCACCCCACCTTTTCGTGCAATGCAAGGACTCTTTGCCGATGAGGATGAGACGGTCGACTACCTAGTGGATGAGGGATGCTTAAACATCCCAGACGTCTGCGGGCAGTGTGGAGCTCCTGTCACGTACACGCCCAATGCCAAAAAAATCATCTACTGTCACAGTCGTCAGTGCAAGGCAACCCACGGTAAGAGGTGGACCAAGTCGATCATGCATGGCACCTTCTTTAACGCCTGTAGAGTGCCACTGCACGAATTTTGCACTTCTTGTACCTGTTCATCTGTGGGACGACTTACACCGCAGTCAGGAGCATTTTCAGGTGGTCGCCAAACACAGTCACTGACTGGTTCCGGTTTGCTCAGCAGCTTATTGGGGAGATGGTTCTCGAAAGCATGGAGAACTATCAGATTGGAGGTCCCGGTGTGGAAGTGGAGATCAACGAATTCAAGTTTGGCAAAAGGAAGTATCATCGTGGTCACAGAGTGGAAGGTCTGGGTATTCGGTGGTGTCGAAAGAACCCCAGAGCGTAAGTGCTTCCTTGTAGCTGTTCCTGACCGGAAGAAGCCCACTTTGGAAGCCCTTATTGCACTACGCTAAAAGCTAGTGTAAAGATCTTTCGAGTATTTTGAGTTTGAGAGAATGAAAGTTATGAGAGGATTAGAAAGCTATGAAAACTAATCAACGAGAGAGATCCACAATCAAAGGATCGTAGATCTGAACTCCCGCGGGAGACTGTAGAGTGTGATAGAGTAGGTTGCGGTAGCATCCTACTCACTCCACGATCCAAAAAACGGAACGCGTGGAAAGATTCGTCTGGCATTATCTAGTAGCGTGGAATATCTCCACGCTGGCTAAATATCTAGAGGATGTTCATCATCAACCTAGTATGACTAGAGCGGTCATTGAGAACCTGTCTCAATACTATTCACGAGAGACTCAGTCATGAGTCGAACTCAAACCCTATCTAGGATCGAGTCGCGAATAAGGCTAAGAGCCGTGTATTGCATCGCCCTGACAAGGGTCACGGAAGGCACGACATCAGTCGGACAAGGAGAACATATGAATATTAAATGCGGGGCACTCTCCGGAGATTGGATGTAGACATGTGCGTCGCACGATGGCAATCCTACAAGGGGATCAGGCCTTGTATGGTGTAAATACCTTATGTTCCAAGTCTGGTAGACTGTGCCGCTACTGGCGGTTAGTGTGTCGGAGCCGTACAGTCCATTTTATTGACTCGTTCTGTGTGGTAAGGACCTGTGCGTTGGCTATTCCTACCGTACTAACGGTTCTGATACTGATGAATCATCAAGTATCGTTGACATGGTGTTGATGAGGGACACGTCGTGTTCTCCTTATCGTGTTTTTCTGGATAAGTCGTTGGCGACGTTCCTTAATGTTTCCGGTTTGCTTTGAAACGGATGTTGAATCTTGTCACGATTGACGCGCTTGAACTTGCGACGAAGTCCATTGTTCATCCCGGAGAGTCTTCTCGACCTCTGCGCGGGACTCACGTTCTCGTCCAGACACCGGTCATGGATATGGGTAACCCACGTCTGTTTCAGAACGATGGTTACTCCGTCTGCTGTTGGAGCAGCCTTGGTAGTTCATTGGTCCAACGAATCCACGAAGTTCCTTCCTGTTGGTAGGAAGAGCGATAGCTGGATCGCATCAATTATCTTTTTAGTTAAAGTTGGATTCCTTCTCGAGTAGTCCAATTGTCTGATACTCAAGTTCTTCCTGAGGAAGGCCTTGTAGTGTTGATTTAAACCGACTTCTTGAAGTCTTTGGAAAGCATCTAACTATTCAACGATCCGCCAGATCGCGTCAGTTAGGATGAGTTGATCATCAATGTATGCACGGACATTTCTAAGTCATGCATGCGTGTTTATCTTCTTTGGAAGATGTCGGGACTATTACATAGGCCCATTGGCAACTCTGGTACTCGTGCTTTCCCCTCAGGAATGGTACAGTGTTGCTTCGAGTGAGGTGCAGCTCGATGTTGTAGTGTCCATGTTCAGGTTAGACTAGTAGCGACTTGAATCCATCTAGATTCAAGACATGTCCTGTATTTTTGGGATAGGATAAGGCTTCCGCTTATCCTTTTGTTCGTTCCCGGAAATCAAGAGATGAATCGTACAGATCCATCTTTCTTGGGAATGATAAAAGTTGGTGCCGCCCACTCGGACATTCACCTTCTTGAGTCTCCTGCCTCGCAGAGACGTTCAACTCCTTCTTAAGATTGTTGTTATGGACCGTGGAGTAGGGTGAGCCCTAGTATAATAGGATTTAGCGTCGGGACGAAGTTCTACTTCGTAGTCGTCCATTTGCAACTCTCCAAAGTATCCTCGACTGGGCGAAGCACTTGGTTAAAGGCATGAGCAGTTCTTGCTCTTCCTTATTTAACTGTTTCGACTCTGGCATCTGTCCTTAAGTCAGTTTTCGTATTTCTCATCAAGAATCTTCTTGAGACTATCTCATGTCGCTGACACTGCAGATCAGGGAATGGAGTTCTCTTCTCTCTCGTATCGCCATCTTTCCAGTTTTGCAGGGAAAAATATGCTGTTCCACTCCATTGACATGGTAGTGAAACCAAACTTGATTCTTGGGTCGCAGAGAGTGTCTTGACCTGTGATCATATCATGCGCCCCCAAGTTCTTGGTGACGTGTAAATTCCATTCGATACTTCTATTATCGTGGAACTCAGGAATCATAAGTGTGCCCTTACACTTTGTGCGGGGTCTCGATTCTTTTACAGAGGCAATCCGTAATGTTTGGACGCCCCCATGATTCTTCATGAGTAACCTCTTAGCATGAGTTTGAGTACTTAAAGTTCCGGATGCTCCTGTATCCAGTAAGCAACAGAGTGTAACGGGTTTTTGTTTCCCTTTCTCTCGTCTGTTAAATCTAACATAGACGATAGTTTTGAGGTCTCTTGTCTTGCGACGTTGATGAGTTGATTGGCCATGGACGAAGTTAACGATGCTGAACAGATCGTCAGGGTCTAGTTGAGTAGTTGCTAGGCAATTATCTAATTTGCCGTAGAACACCCGTTGCAAACAAATCTTGTTTACTATTTAGTGAGATATCTTCATCACTTAGGTATGAGAAATCGGAACATGGTTCCGTTGAATCATCATCCTGGCCTAATCCTCAGACGGAGATCTCTCCATCCGAATGATTGAAGTCGAATTCGGCAAGCGCCTTGTCAACGGCAGCCATTTTCTTGTCCATCATGTTGATGGATCCAACAGAGGAGTCGTCCTCGTTGTCGGAGTCGTCTGACTTGCGCTTGGCAACGTGGTTGCATTCGCTTTTCTTCTTGCGATCAGCCTTGACCGCAGCGTTGGAAACTTTCTTCATGAGGACAGAGAGTTCCTTCTTGGTGTAGGTCTTGGCGTCGTCGGACTTGCGTTTCCAAGTCTTGTTCTTGTTGTACGCTGGCTTGTTATCGTTGTCGGACGAGGACTGAGACTTGGCCTTGAGCTTCTTCAGAGTCATGCAGTCAGCAGTGTTGTGAGTGCTGGACTCGTGGTAGTCGCACCATTTTTCTTCGTTCTTGGGAGAGTGGTCGTTGTTGCGAGTAGACTTGTACTTCTTGCTGTTGTTCTTCTTCGAAGGAGCTTGTTTGGCATCACCGCCCTTGTCAAAGTCTTCGGAGGATTCCATGCGTTCGCAGAATCCAATAGTTTCTCCGATAGGAGCTGAGAAAGGATCGAAGTCGTGTTCGTCCATCTTCTTCATCCACGAGCGTGGAATTCCATGACAAACAATGTCAATGACTTCGTCATGGTTCAACGTTTGGTTGGGTCCAAAAGGTGGTAGACGAGGAAGTTCATCGGCGTTCATCCGACTGAGGTTGTTGACATAAGCCCGAGTATAGACATATCAGCAGGCTTACGCATCTTGCGGCGCATGAAGCGTTTCTGCTTTTCAAGAGCCTTGTAGGGACAGACCGCTTCGACACAGGCATTTATGCCAAACGTAATGTCAGTGTCATCCAAAGCAGGCTGAGCTGCTCCGTTCCAGGCAGTCTGGAAACGTGCTTGGAAAGTGGCTTCGTCTTCACCGCCACGTATGTCGCGTGGAGGAATCGCGTTGACTGCAATCTGGCGCAAGGCATTCCAACGTATTTCACGGTGGCCTGCACAGCTAGATTCGTAACTGCTCTTGGCAGAGCTAGAAGTCATCTCCTTGAGGAGGTTATGTTTGTCGTCAGGCGTAGCAATGGCGAGCCCGACGAAGACCTTCTCCATACGTCCAGCCCACTTGATGGTCTGACGTGGAGTCTCAGATCCATTGATGATTTGGACCTTGAAGGTGTACTTGGCGCTGTTAGCATCTGCTGGAACAGTGCGAAGTTTGTAGGTGGTAGAGCGAGAATCGCCGATTTCGCATTCATCGTCGAGGTCGATGAGAGGAAGGATTGGTTTGTTGCGCAGCTTAGACTCGAAGCTGGTGTATGCGTCTTTGGCAATCTTCATGGTGAGGAATAGGTTGAGGGTAGCTGAAAGCTATTGTGTTTGTTAACAAAATGCACTACGCTAAAAGCTAGTGTAAAGATCTTTCGAGTGTTTTGAGCTTGAGAGAATGAAAGTTATGAGAGGATTAGAAAGCTATGAAAACTAATCAACGAGAGAGATCCACAATCAAAGGATCGTAGATCTGAACTCCCGCGGGAGACTGTAGAGTGTGATAGAGTAGGTTGCGGTAGCAATCCTACTCATTCCACGATCCAAAAACGGAACGCGTGGAAGATTCGTCTAGCATTTATCTAGTAGTGTGGAATCTCTCCACGCCAGCTAAATATTTAGCGCGATGTTTCACCATCGACCTAGTATGACTAGCGGTCATGAGAACCCTGTCTCAGTGACTATTCACGAAAGACTCAGTCATGAGTCGAACTCAAACCCTATCTAGGATCGAGTCGCGAATAAGGCTAAGAGCCGTGTATTGCACATTTTTTTTCACAGATCGTACTATCTAAGCGCGTTCTACACAATAAAGATTGGCGAGCTGGTTGCTATCGGTATGTTGTAGATCATAAGAAGAATACATTTCAAGTAAATTTAAAGCTGAGATCCGATACCGGTACCAACAGCAAGGCTTTTGCTTGACAGCCCGGAAGAATGATGAATCGAATTGAATCATGGGCAGCTAACATGTATGGAGGGTAAAGTGTCTCTTTGTTGCCCTCGCCAGCTGGGATAGAATCGCTCGAACGTGGTTTTCGATCAAGTGACCTTTTCGACTGCTGTGTTACCCGTACCGTAATGGTGTGGGCGTTCAGGAAATTATGTGCTTTGCTGCCAACAACCAATCATCTCCATTGCCCTTGTTAGTAGAAAGTGGTGATGCAATCCCAAAGGCAGATGCCCAAGGGGTCCCACTTCCAGCCCCAATGATGGGGACAAGGTCCAAGACACTGTGAGAATATCCCTGAACATCCCTGAAGGAGAAGTAAGGAGAGGTGGGACTGTCAAACCTGCACCCCCAAACATGAGGAGACTAGAAAATAGATAAGAGCCATTGTGCTCACAATTGCAAAATAAGAGATATTAAAAAGCAACTTCTACTAGCTTATCAGGCGTGGTAGCAAGAACCTACGAGCGAAACAGCAACAAAGCAAAAACCGTATTGATTACTGGTGTTGGCAATTGGCACCAAGCAAAGTAACCAAAGACAAGCAAAGACAAGCAAAGACAAACAAAGCACAGTAAAGCAAAGCAAGCAACGAGCGAAAAGACTAAAAAAGTGAAGACTGACCTTTGTTTTTGTGCAATCCAAACCTGCACTAAAAACACATAAGTATACACTTCCCGAGAAAAGAGAACTTCAAAGAAGCCTTAAGAACATCTGAAACCCACTTCAAACCCACTTCGTGATCACTAAGTCCTCTACACCCAAAAATATAACGAAGTTTTATTATTTAGGCTGCACCTCAATAGACCACCCGCTGAACGGAGCCATATTGAACCGGAGTACCTCAGACGTACAAGGGCACCCACATAGGAACCGGCCTAGTGCAAGCCCCCCACCGGAGAAGTTTAAAAACTCCGGAGGGTGCTTTGCAGCTAACTAACTACCCTTGGCTGGATTGCCATCTATTTCTACGGTAAGACCCCCTTTGTGCATAGTCACCCCCGTGTCATTGTTCTGCTCGGTGCGTGCATGCTCGTCCCTGAGTGCCTTGTCGACGACGGGCAGCCAATTGGCAAGCCACGCTTTGATGTCGCCTGGGCCCTTTGCCATTTGCTCGTCAAGCGGTCGCTTGAAGATAAAATCCACCAGCTCCGCTGGGATCAGATCCGCTTTCTCGTAAATGAGTTCCACCTCCCGCTGAAGCTGTTCGTGCTTCTTCTTCCACTGGTCTTCCCTGTCTTTGCCATGCCTGGCAGCATTTCGATCCTCCCACAGGTTCCACCACTGCTGGATGAGCAGTGAGGCTAGGTTGGTGACCCAGAGCTGCCCGGTCTTGGTGGGCTCCTGGGAGCCGACCCGATGCAGATATGCATCTTGATGCTTAGCCCAGTGCTTGGACAAACGTCCTCTCAGGAAGTTGTCCCAACCAATGAGATTTTGAGTGTCAACAAGGTCCCTATACCTGTCTGGGTAATGCCATGGGTGGAGGAATCGATCTTCAAAGTGGTATTGTAGTCCATCCAGAGCAATTTCCAGGAGGAAGGGGTCGGTGGAATCCTTGCGCAACTTTGTGCTGATCGCTCGTTGCATGGTCCCTCGCCACAAATCCACGTCAACATGCGGGCATCGGTAAACATGGATTTCAGTCTCGTGATCACCGGCAGGCAGCAAAGTATTGTTCTGCCCAAACCAATTGATCACAGTCAAGAGATCATAGGACCCAGGATCTTTCGAGTCCTTGGCCAGAAAGTAGAAGCCGATGTTGCTGCTAAGGTATTCATAGACGGAACGTGTTTCCCCGCTCCCGAAGTTCTGTACAGTCCACGGCATCGGTGTAGTGTACTATTTTTAGTAATGTGTTGGTAGGTTTCTTTTGTTTGGTGTTTGACATTCTGGGGGTGCGGCTTGAGATCATATAGCAACAACGACGGAACACCTTCATTTTTGCTGGATGGCTTCCGGGGGATGAGTGTCTTCAGCAAGCTGCTCAGCAGCCCGCCCGTCGGGGGGTTGAAATCTTCCAAACTGAATGGTTTGTAAGGTTTTTTTCGAAGTGCTCATTTACGCCTGCGGAGCATAATTGGGCCACTGTGGCCGTTCCAGTTTTGGTGGTCATTGTCGAAGTGGAAGTGAGATGATACGAAACTTGCTCTTTTGGTCAGCGGTTGCCATGGGTGGCTTGCTACCACTACAGAGCACGCAAGCGTGCCGTTAACGCGTGACCCAGCAAAGGGCTCAGCCAATCAGTGTTTTTCGTATACGGGACTGAAATAAAGAGTGATTCAACGCGTCATCACGAGTTCACTTGGGTCACCATGCACAACATTGTACATGTACATGTACAAAAATATGCGTCTCTCTCTTTCATCCGGCTGAAGCTCCCACCACCTGGCTGGTGTTGACGATTTTGGATGATTCGATTCTATTGAATCGAATGAATCGAATCGAGTCGAGTCATTCGAAACCATCAAACAATTCGAAAAACTCAGCCGAACAAATTTGAAGTGGTCCATTATTATGATGACGATGCATTCTTGACTGGATACGTCTGTCTGTCAGCAGAACTGTCATCCTCCGCGTGGCGAAGTGCCTTCAGCAAGTCATTCAAATAAATGGCTTTCCAAGAGGGCCAAGAGGGGCCAAAAGCACCCAACAACAACCGCCAACGACAAACTCGAGTGACCTTGTCCTCACTAGTAGCTAGTAGTAGAGGAACAAAGCTTGCTAGCTAGCTATCTAAGGAGTGCGGCACCCCAACACAGCTCTGGAAGCAACAGTAGACAGTCCCTGGTAGATATAAGGAGAAAGCGGTCAGGGAGCGATCAACTTGGAGAGGATCAAATTGGTGTAGACGAACGACACATCGACGGTTTGCTGTATCTGTATCTTTAGGCTTGCCCATTACATTCAATTACTAGTACGGTACCACAGTAAGATCACAACAAACATGTCCAACTTTGGTGGGAACAGCAACTTTGGCGGGAACAACAATCGCGGTGGCGGTGGACGAGGAGGGAGAGGCCGCGGAGGAAGAGGCCGTGGTGGTGGTCGAGGTCGAAACAGTGGTGGTGGAAATTTTCATCATGGCGGCGGCGGCGGTGGCTTTGGCTCTGGACAGGAAAACGTGGCCGCTAAAGCCAAGATGCAACCATGTCGGAACTTTACGTCTACGGGATCTTGTCCCAATCAGAACTGCAAATTCGCTCATGTGGTCAAATTGCACGCGTCTCTGGACGCCGCCAATCCGAGTCAGAATCAACACCAAAATACCAACAATTTCAATCAAAACAACAATCGCCACAACAATAATCAACAAAGACAACAACTCGAGGCTGTCACAGCTGTCGCCGTTTGGGAACAGGCGGGAAGCATCAAAATATTCACTGGTTCGCATGACGGGTTTTGGAGACTCTGGAATACGCACGGAGGAACCTTTCACAAGGAGTTCGAACAGGCCATGGGAGGAAAGGTGGAATGCCTCAAGGTCGCCTTTAACTACCTATTTTGTGGATTTGAAGGAACTTCTCCGGCATTGCCAGGTGTACAGGTCGGCATGGCCCATGCCTGGAATTTGGCAAACCCCAATCAACCTCCTCTCGAACTACAAATGGTTCCTGGAATGATCCCCTACGCGCATGGACAAGCCGTCACTTCCATTCTAGTCATTGGCGCAGAGGGACAACCACCCAAAGTCGTCACCGGTAGTCGTGACGGCAGTATCCGAATCTGGACATTTCAAGAAGGAGCGTTCGTCATGGAAAAAAATCTACTCGGCCATGCACGAGCCGTCACGGGACTTGCGCCCATTGGAACCAATCTCTTGTGGAGCGGTGGCATGGATTTTGCGCTGCGAATTTGGGATTTTGCCAGTCCGCAGGGAACCTGCCAACATACCATCACCGCACAGGCAGGAGATCAACCACAATCACCCGCCGGCGCTAACGTAAATCCAAGCCAACCACAATCGGGACATTCCAATGCCGTCACAAGCTTGCTACAGTTTGATGCACCCAACAATGCCGGAACATTCGTCTTGAGTTCCAGTCTAGACGGAACCGTACAAGCTTGGAATGGCGGGAATGGACAGTGTGTCGCCAATGAAAATCATGGTGAAGGCGTCGTATGCATGTCCATGGCCACCGATTTGAAAGGAAATCCATTGCTACTCATTGGTCTCGAAAGTGGGAATATCATGGTCAGAAACGTATTGCAATCCCCCAGTATGCCCGCCTTTGGATTGTTGCTCTGTCTCAGTGCCAGATATACCGCTGGCCACAATGGGGCCTGCCGATCGCTTTGTCAAGGACCCTCCAGTACATTCTACTCGTGTGGCAGTGACGGAAAACTGCTCGTCTGGCAATTGACGGGCGATTTGGGATTGTAAAATTAAATAAATGTGCTACATCGGTGATCAGATATCAACCAATCGAATGATGCAGTGGCTACCGTACGGAAATTTGGCAGGTAAAGCAGGCTACGGAACATTCTAACACCTTGCTTTTGTGGCGAAGGAGCGAAGCAGGAGTCTGCATTGCCTGTGCTGTTGCAAAGAGAAGTGACAAAGCGAAGCATAACGACTACTAGTAGTAACAACATTTGTGCGAACGAAACAAAATCCAGATCTACAGTAGCGTCAAAATTGAGATTTGCTCGAGTGATGATTTTTGGCATGGAAGCAGGAGGGAAGAGTCGCTCAGAATGAATTCAATCGACTGAGTCACTCGATTGTTCGCAGCAGTCCACAGAATCACAATCCGCTTCTATTTCTTCCAACACTCCATCTTCTTGCAACTCGCAGACTTCAGGCGGAATGGCGCCAGACTGGTAGGTATTAGACAGGTGGAATGACTCTAGATTCGTCAGCAACCCGAGCTCGGATGGTAACGAACCAACCAGGGGATTCCTCGTCACATCCAGAACCACAAGAGAGTCAATCAAACCCATTGTCGAAGGCAAGGAAGTCAGTTGGTTCTCACCAAGCTGAAGCTCTACCAGTGCCGTAAGAGCCCCAATTTCGGCCCTGACGGCGCCTACCAATTGGTTCTCTTCAAGCATCAACTCTTCCAAACTGGTCAGCAATCCAATCTCACTTGATATGGTGCCAGTGAGATTATTGTCTGCCATTACCAACCCTTCCAACAGCGTCAATTGGCCAATGTCGGGTATTGTACCCTGAAGGCCGCAGTCGCCTACATGCAGATACGTCAAGTCCGTCAAGTGGTTGATTGCAGAAGGGAGACTGCCTTCAAATGAGTTGATGCCCAATCTCAAGTCGTACAAGCGTGATCCCTCTGGAAACAACACTTCCGGAATCGATCCCGTCAAGGCGTTGGCTTCCAGTGAGAGAAACACGAGATCCTTCAGAAGTCCGAGCTCAGAAGGAATTCGACCGGTCATTTGATTGCTATCCAGAAACAGATACTTGAGTTGGTCCAACATTCCAAGCTCTGAAGAGGCAAGCACGTTTGTTTGGAGAGGAGAGCATCAGCGTGACATTTAATCGATCATACAATCCCGTCGCGCGTCTCTACTTACCAGTGGGAATGACACCGCTGATCTGATTGTGATAGAGATTGAGAGCCTGCAAGCTCTTGAGCCTTCCGATCTCCGACGGGATATGAAGAAAACTGCAATCATCCAAATCCAAATATTCCAGCGACGACAACAAACCAACCTCACTCGGAATCGGCCCCGTCAACCGTGCGTTCCATCCCAACATGAGCGTCGTCAACTCGGGTAGGAACAGGAAGAGTTCCGGAGGTAATGTCCCGACAAGAATGTTGGGCATCAAGATGAGATAGTGATACGTGCTGTCATTACTTCCAGTGCAAGCATGTATCCTTCTTTCTTGCTCTTTGGCCTGTAAACCTTCCTGAGCCTGCCAGACATTCTCAAAGTTTTGTTTGGAATAAACTCCATTATCGGTATAAAATCCGTCATCGATATCGGTGTCCCCACCGAATCCTACCGTCCAATCAGCCCATAATCCCCAATCGCATTCACTGAGGGAATGGTTCAACCAGTTGCCTTCATCACTCCAATGTTCGTCCCCTCCCGTGGCATAGTAAAAGGTAGCGAGGGCGAATCGTTGCCTCTGTCTCCGTTGGTCGAATGAATTATTCTGTAGCAGGTCTTCCACCATCCATTGATTGGCGCGAGCTTGTGGCGAGGACGGATCTTGCTGCATGGCCTGTATGGTTTGTTCGGGAAGCGTCTTGTCGAACGGTTCCACAACAACAGCACTTTGAGTATCATCACTATTGTCGTTGGTTTCACTCTGGGAGACACCAATAATGATTCCAGCAATGGAGGCAGCAATGACTAGTAGTAGAGCCAGAGACAATAATACCATTACTTTGGGACTTGTGAGGACTTCTTTCCATGTCAAGGGTGCATTTTCGTCCATTGGACTGGCTTGAGCTAGAACCGGTGTGTTACGACGGGAGCCTTCACTGTTGCGTGTTGCAAACGACAGCGCGGCCGAGCGTTCTCCAACCAATCTGGCTTCGACCAATAGATCCAATTGTGGCGAATTGTTGTTGGGCGAATGGTTGAAGGGGGCAGCTTCCTCGTCGTCATCTCCTTCGACAATCAGTGGGGTGTTGTCATCATCTGTACGGCAAGTAGAATCTGCCATGCAGGGTTGCGTGGTTAATCTGCCAGGTTGAGTGATTTGTCGTGCCCCTTCAGTACCCATCGGGAAGGCTCCCGGTGTGGCCACAGGCGCCGAAACAGCCCTTCTCTGAGGCCGTTGAATCCCAGTAGTGTCCTCGGACCCTGAGATGCTACTGATGGTGTTGATAGTGGCGACAGTGCCATCAGAGGATTGAGTGGGATGCCCCCCAGTTTCTTTTTCGTTATGAGACGATCTCTGGAGCATGCCACCATAGAGTTTTCCAAGTTCCTCATCAATGCGTCCTCTCTGTTCGGCTGGAAGTGGTATGGATTCGTCTTCATCCCTACTACCACTACGGGGTGCCCTGGATTGGTGGATTTTGGATTCAAAAGCAGCAAGTTCTGCCTCTCCCCGAGCATTCAAAGTCATACTCGGTCTCTGGGTAGTCGATGCGACATTATTTGTGCCTGCACTACTAGTAGAAGGAGCCGGCTGCTGTTGATTCTCGTTGCTTTCGTCTCCAGGTGTAGCGACATTCCTTTGACTTGTCTCTTCTTCCTCGTCTTCATCATCATCTGCCTGACTTTCCGCGGTTAGGTTCAAGATCTCCTTCTCGGATACCATGGTTTGTTTTTCTGCGCAATCAATACATGTACATGTAAGTTGGACCTACTCCCCTTGGCCCCAAAGCCACGAACCAACTCAAGAGGGAGGGAGCTGAATGGTTCGCACTTCACTTACTTGGAAGCTTGAAGGAACTTCATGTTGGCGGCGAAGTTGCAGAGGCATCTCGGTTCTGCGAAAGACGACCGAAAGACTGCATAGCATTCAGGTAGATGCGGTAAACAAGAAATGCTCAAACCACCTTAGTTTACCTCAACTACGCTTTGCTTCCATTGCTGTAGCTATTGCTGTCCTCCCTCCAACCGCACACTCGACCAACGTGGTTAGCGTACTACCGGTAGCTAGCTAGCTACCGGTAGTAGGAGAGCGGAGAGCGGAGAAACGAAAATTCGGGTGGAGAGTATTGGTGCATACGACGTCAAGCAAATGAAAACATTGATATATGTATCGGGATACTGTAGCTAGCTAGCTTTTAAGTTTTAAGAGGAGTTTGTCTGAACTGACAGAGGCTTGACTCAACGGGTTTCGGTCTCTAGGCCATCTTCAACTTCAAATTCTTCCAAAAGACACGGACATTGGTATTGGGTTTCCACCACTTGACTGCGGCAACCACGACCGCCAATCCAGCAATGACGCCGGGGACAAGCGCGGCCCCAAAGATGGATTCGACCAAATACAAAGGATAGACGACGCAAACTGCCATACAGAAGAGAACTGCCTGTAGGACAATGTTGAGCTTGTGGTCAACCAAATTGGCCAAACGGATTCCCAAGCCAACAAAGGGATGGTAACCGCTTTGTTCATCAATATGAGCATTGCTGCAAAGACTGGGAGCGACTCCCATACAGGCCATGCGCAAAGGGCTCAACATCATGTGAATGAATTCATGCTGCGCCAACAAATTCAACTGGAGCTGCTGGGGATCTTTATCTCTCGTGAGTGTAACATAGGACGATACCTTGACACCGTTAACAAGAAGAGTTCCGGAAGGTGTAAGAGGAGCGTAGAGCCCCGTTTTCCACCTTCGAGTGATCTTGGTAACAACCGCAGAGCCGTCTTCCACCTGCAGCGAATCGCCAACTTGGACAGACTTTGCAGGAAGAAACTTCTCGTTAACGTATACCAAATGATCTCCTGTCACTTCAAGTGGCCCCCAATTGTTGCCTTTCATGTGGATCTTTAGAAACTCTGTCTTCCCGGCTCTGTCGTAGTGAGCAAAGCCATACACTGGTTCATAGGTACTATGAGCTCCATGGACCTTGTCACCAACATTGAGATGCTTCATTGAAACTGTTCCTTTTCCAAGTACCTCGACCGTCGAATCCTCGGAGAAGCAAAAGGAGGGACCGCTAGGGGCAGCAACAGCAGGAGGTTCCTTATCTGGGCAGCCACAGTACTTGGCGCACACGGAGAGAATAGCAATATCTCCAAAAGAGTTCTTGTACACACCATCGCATCCGTCGCCCTCAACTTGAGGCGCATTGACAAGTTCCTCGCAACTGCACAATCCTCCAAAGGTACAAGCTGGGTTGCTACTCAGAGTATTCTCGCAATCAGCAGAAGTAGTTGCAGCAGGAGCCTCCTCAGGCACAACTTCCTCAGCAGCTTCAACGGCGGGTTCATCGGCAACGGTCGGACTTGGAGTGGGGGGTTCAGGCGACACCGTGGGATCCACTTCAGGGCACATCCCCACAACTTGATCTTCTTGATCCACATGAAGAGTCGGGTGTCCCAGTTTGGCGCTCTCGAGAGCAACACTCCGTCCTCTCGTCACAACGAAATTGCGAATCAGAGGGTCCAATGTCTCGATCCCAGGTTTCTCCTCAGCGCAAGAATACTTTTAGGAAAAAAAGAAGAAAAATTGATGAGAAGACAGGGTCCTACAAAACCATGCATGCAGGCAGCGCTTCCAGTGGCCATAGGCGAACGTACCATATTGGACAAAAGCGACTGGCATTCCTTGGTAGAGAAGAGGCACTTATCATGGAAGCTCATAGTCACAACCTCCTGGTAGGCTTCCTGAAAAAGTTCTTCCAACGAAACTTCTGCGCAGTCACCACAGTATGCTGCGCAGACATCACTCACAACAATATCACCCATCTCTGTGCTGTACACTCCGCCGCAACCACCACTTTCTGGCAGGTTAACAAATTCCTCGCATTCACAGAGGTTTCCAAATATACAAGCTGGGTTGTCAGCCAGGGTGTCCTTGCAGCTGGTGAAGACCTGTCCCGGTGCTTCTGTAGCAGAAATTGTTGGTGGTATGTCACTGTCCATGGCAGCAGCTGTTGTCACATCACATCCACAATAATTGGCACAGACAGATCGGATCTCGATGTCACCAAAAGCGCTTGCATAGAAGCCATTGCAGCCCGAGCTCTCGGGTGCGTTGACAAAGCTCTCGCAATCGCACAGCCCACCAAAGGTACAAGAGGGGCTCTCTTCGATTGTATCCACGCACCCGGGATCTGCCTGACGTTCCACAGGGAATGCCAGCGACGTTTGAAAGGCCTCCAGATCAATATCAGGAAGCAACGAAGTATCACAGGTAGATTGGATGCACACATCCACTGTTAGGTTAACGTCTTTCGAGGTTACTTGGTTGGGCGTAGCCACGAAAACGAACAAGTATCCCATGACTCCAGTATGGAGATTTGTTGCATTGTAGTCCGTAACAAATCGCACCACACGATCAGCTGGGAAGGTAATGGGTGGATCGTGGTCGTCGACGGACACTGCTGTCAAGAAGCCTTCGTCTGTCTCTGGATTGGTTCCATAGATGGTTTCTCCAGAGCACAAGAGTTCACCGGTTTCAGCATCTTCCAACCACTGGCCAATGGCAGCCACATGCAAGTGGGCCACGCAACGTAGTAGCTGGACCTCTTCTGGGCCAGAATAGTCGCCTTGGAAGAAGCTGTCCTTGAACATTTCATTGAACGGCTCGATCCGTTCCAAGCGCTGAATACGAGAATCTTCTGGAGCTTGCTGCTCTTGGGGCAAATACTCGTAGCTTGGCACATCATATTCCAAAAACATACCGATAGCTGGGGAGATATCAGCAGTGAGATACGTCACATGGGTCACTGGTTCGTCTTCGGCTTGTAGTTCTCGGTAAGTAACGTTGTAACGCATGCGATAGTCCACAGTAGGTCCTTCCAAGTCCGTACAGTTGGTGCAACAGTTGACTCCTCCTGTGATGTTTCCAGTGTTGGCCAGCTCATCCAGGTAGCTTCCGTCGCTGCTGGTAGGACATCGGCATTCAATACAAGACAACCAATCGTCGACTTCTCGCAAATCGATCAAATGCATGATGGTGAAATCTCCTTCATCTCCTGACATGATAGCATAAGGCTCCTTGAAAGGGGCATCTGGGGCGTCTTGACGCAATCCTTCAGCTCCTTGCCCGAAGACAATGTTTCCAGACAAATGATGGACATACAATTGGTTGACGGGCACTGGGACGATCCCTTCTTCAAACGACCCAGTGACAAACTCAAAGTTCCTTTGCCCCAAAGCCACACGGGTGTCTCGGGGGAATGGGTAGTACATCAAGAATAGTCGGTTTATGACTCCGCCGGGTGTCAAAGTAGCTGGTCCACTCAAACAGGACCTGGTGAAGGTATGCGATTCGCCCTCCACTGGCTCTGGATCGCTGCATTGCGCTTGCAACCTGTTTGCCTCCAATTGGGTGCTTTCATCAACTACTCCTGATTGCAATGCATTGCAGTCATCCGCTGAAGCTCCAAAGAGAACACTAGACACAGGTGGTAGACGCTCACCTCCACCGCCAGTCCAAAAGGAGGTTACGGGGACTTGTACCTTTTGCGTGCCAGAAGAACAATGATCGCCAACCTGGCAGGCAAAGTACAATACGTCATCGGATTCGTCAGGAATGGTGTATGTAAAAGGGGCCTCTCCAACTTGTGCCAAGAGAGTGGCATCAGTAAAGTTACAATCCATAAAGTCTTGGAGTGAAGCCATTTGGTAGACATTGTGGGCAGCAAAACGAAATTCCAACCGATCGCCAGGAAAGACACCAGTGCCACCTTGGACTGGTTGGTAACAGACCCCTTCAGTCCATCCTCTATCGCCGCCAATGACGATTGTGGCCGACTCGGCACTAGTAACCACATTTTCGACAACAACTTGGGCATGCACGGCAATGGGAGTGGTAAGAAGAAATAGGAGACCGCTGCAAACAGCTACGGTGCTAGTCCAGGACGACCTCAATGCGCCATTGCGAGGATACGTGAACATCATGACCGAAAAATTCTCTCGCAACCTAACTGGAAAGGAAGGGAAAATATGGGACTTTACACTCAGTTATTGTTGGAGTCAAGGTATTGCAGTGATATGGCGGACAACGTCATCAGCCCTTGTGCATCCCGTAGAATCCGGGCCTTGGGAAAGATAGGAGTTAGCCGAAAGGATGATAGGAGTTAGCCGAACACACCAAAAAGCTGGTAGACTGGACTTCCGCATCCAACAGTACCGGTACGGTCCTTTGACCGTAAATTCTACTTGATGCCTATGTATTACCCGAGCTCGTGTAGCCTAGCATAATCAGCTATCAGTAGTAGCCGGTCCTACTAGGTGGGGGCAAGGCAATGGATGGGCTCTGTTTTGGCATCCCGGGTTATCCAACCCTGTCAAAACCGGAGGCAAGTTCACCAACCAATTACTACAGTGGCCACGCTACACTGGACTGCAACCTACAGAGCTATGCATACTAGGAGGCACATTCTCAAAGCGATTATCTGCACTCAGTAGCTACTGATTAGGCGAAAAGGGGCGAATGGCAGTGATCTGATTGGCTAATCAAGCTAATATGTCAGCAAGTACGTCAGCAAATATTCAAAAATACTTAACGTACCGATTATAGATATTACGGAGAAAAT